AGTAATTGGAAAATTGTTTTCCAGCCAAGGTTTCCGAAGATATTTTGGGATTAGAGTGATTCTGAAGTGCTTATTTTTTAGCCATTATGTAGTATTGAACTTCAGAACAGTCACGTAACTTCGACAGTCTGCAAATCTATAATTTATACTGTGAACTGAGAGTAGATAGACCTGTCTGATTTGGAGGGTCAAGATGGTCTTTTATTAACCATGTAGTTAAATTTAACCCTCTCATTTAATGCAATAATCTAATGAGAGTGAGGTTGTGGCAATTTATTGGTCATCATCTAGGAGGAGATTCTTAATGATGATCATATTATGCTTTTGGTTGCATTTATTACTTGGATATGACTTATATAACCTATCCTGTAATTTCCGACAGTTCTTTCTCTATCTGCTTTCTGGCAAATTCTGCACTGTTTTAATAGTTTCAAGTGTTTACAACTCGGACTTCTCGATGAATTCTCAGTTACGGAATTTTATGTCAAGTACTTTGGAAACTTTTGTTAAATACTGCAAGTTATTCATGTTGGTACTTTTGTTCAGCTTATGATGCTTGGTATGTTGTTCCACATGTATTTTATAACATTTGCTGTCTTAATGCTTGAAAATGTTTCACTGCAAGGGAAGTTAAGAGCACAATACTCAGCCACTTTCTCCTTTTCTAATCTCTCTTCTTCTCACGTTTCTATTTTTTACATTTCATGTTTTATCTTCTCTACAGGCTGGAGTTTCATGTGAAATATTTATTCACCAAATTTGCAAAAATTTTGACATTTGATGGATTTCCTCCGTAAATTTTCGAATTTGTTGTTCATGTTCTAAAAATGTTTTGGAACTTGCAAATAAATCTTGTCTGAGGTTCAAAAAACATATAAAATTACATAAAATTACGAAGGAATAACTGTGCGATTAGTAAAGTGTTTTGCATTAAAATGAATGCATAGATCTCATCGGTGCACAACAGAAGCACTGTGGTATATCGTTTGATGACGATGTTACACTACCACCAATTGGTATCAAGCCAGGAAGTATTGCTGGGTTAATTGCATTTTGCATCTTAATGCTTGGTTTGGTGGGATTTGTTGCAGGAGTAACAGTTGATGTGGCCTAAAATTAAGTGAACTATAAATGGAATAAACATTAAGTTCATATTTGATTCATTACATAATTTTGATTTTAGAAGTGTTTCTGGAACTAACTCTTTTTTTTCGAAGAAATGATGTATGGGAAAATTTTGGCTGTATCTGTATGGGTGGCTTGTTCGGATCAAATGCAAACATTATACCGCTTACTTCATCCTAAAATTATACGTCATTCAGGATGGATTTCATATTGGACAAAAATTACACGATAAGAGTTAACTTTCAAGCAATAAAAAATTACAAAATTATCATTTCGTTTGTAATTCAAGTATTAAAAACAAACAATTGAGGTAGTGTAATGTCGTGCGGCAATCTTGCAACAAGTATTGCAAGAATTCTCATTAGCTGTTGCAGTAAATCGACAAAATTCTCGCATTAATTTATTTGATGAATCTCCTGTAGAAAGAATTGAGTAGTTTTTTAAATTGTAATAAAGACGAGAAATGTTCGAATTTTTCATTATCTTTTTAATCATCAAATTTTGAACAATATGTCTTTTGTTCTTAATATAATATGATAATTGTTGTTTCATCAGAAAATATTTTGATAAAACTACAAGTATGACTTATTCTTATTGAGAAATATCTCAAATTATTATCCATTTCGTAAATTTATTGGAAAATTTTGCTATTAAAATAATAGAATAAACAAAACAAAAAAATTGCTTTATACCTGTTCCTAATGCAAATGATCCATGTGCTGAGCAATAAAATTCTGAAAATTTTAAAAAATTAGAAATTCTTAATATATTATAATTAAAATTTATCTTTTACTTATAACGATAACTTTTTCATAAAATTGAAATTATTCATCGGAGTTTATTTCTCTATAAATTTATTGAATAATAATGATTAATGGGTAAATTTGAAATGAAACTTACGATCAAGTGCAAGTGGTACTGTATTACTGCATGATGCCGGTGGATAACAGGATGTATAGGATGGATAGTAACCTGATGAACCATAACTGTACGGATAGATGAATGGTGATACTTCACCGTACAGCGGTGATATTGGTTGTAGCTGTGGTTGTGGTTGTTGTAGTAGTGGTGGTGGATACCAATGTCCTTCACCAGTTTCATTCTTCACTCTACTTGATATATTTTGCTAAGAGAAAAAAAAGACGAAAAAATGCATTTGTATAAAATATATTTTCAAATCAGAAATTTTGAATGCTAAAAAATGAAACATTTTTTCAATAAAATGGAAAAATAAACTAAGCTAATATACAAATTAGAATATGTTAAAATTAAAAAAAAATTTTTTTGCTTTTCATCTTTTCCTTTTTTTTTTTTGATTTTAATTATCTTTAATAAAACAAACCTTTGGTGATGCAGTTGAATGAACAATTCCTAAAATTGAGAACAAAGCAAGCAGCAACAACATTTTGTTGACTTTCTGAAACGTTTTTTTTTTTTCGTTTTTTAAGACACGAAATAAACAATGATGAAAAATTCAACTATTTATTACTTTTAAAATCAATGGGCGGGTTTATTGCATAATCTATTATATATTCTATATGCTATTATTAGAAAAAAAAAATTTTTTTTTTTTTTGAAAACTTTATAGTGTAGTTTAGAATTTGTAAAATCATAACAATTTTTGATAAAAATATTCGGAATGAATAAAATTTTGTTTCTAATCGTCAGCATTTATAGTATACTTTAAAAAATACAAATAATTTTTTTGTAATTTCAGGTTACTAATTTTTAACATTCTCAAATGTCATTAACATTCACAATTTTTGCTTTTCTTGAAGATTAAAGTTACTTTTAATATAATTTCTGAAAATATAATTTACTCAGCAATTTTAAATTAATTTCTATTTGATAAAGAATAATGCGGAACGAATAAGATGTTAAGAAGAAATATTATAATGTTTTAATGTTTAATCTTTTTTTTTCTTAATGTGTTTAGTCCGTCGTTTTTTTTTTTTTTTTTTTGATATTTTCTTATAAATGATTTGAATATATCAAAAAAACAAGTTAACATTTCATAAAATGTTATCTCATACCAATACAAAAATGTTTGGTTAAAAAATTGAACAAAAAAAATAATTTTAAATTCAAAAAAAAATAATAATTTAAAATTTTAAGTTATAATTTTTCTACTTTTTTCTGCAAAAATGAAATGTAAATAAATTGTAAACTTTTTTTTGGAATAATTTTTTTTCATCTCTTTTTTTCTTTCTCTTTCATTTTTGCACTTTTTTATTTGGGAAAATAGAAGTACTCGGAATTGATACATTCTGTGATTACATTTGAAACAAACTCATAGAATCATGCAGACTTTCACAATTCACATAATTTTTTTTTTTATGAAATGCATAAGAATATATTAAATTTTCATTTGATTGATCATCAGTTAACTATATCAAAATGTTTTCTATTAAAATAATAATATTATAAATAATATCTATTAAAATAATATTAATATTTTTTATCAATATTTTGTGATTTTTTATTAATAACAATAATATTTTCAATTTATCTATTAAAATAATACAAATATTACAAATAATATTTATTAAAATCAATTGAACCCAATCGTTGAAATATTGTTGTTAGCCGAAGATATGAAGATAAGAAAATGAGAAAAAAAAAAAGCAAATATTTAAAAAAAACCAACAAAATAATTTTATTGTAGCGTTTAGAAACTGTGATTTTCTCGTCCGATATGATTTCAATGGGAAAAACCGAAAAAGAAGGAAATGAAAAAAAAAAAGGAGAAAAAAAATTGACGAAGATTTTCACAAGTTATCAAAGAATGAGATTGTAAATGATAATAGATTATATTCAAATATCTCATGATGAGTCATTACGGGAAATAAGAATTATAAATTACTGTGTTTATACTACTTTTCTTTATTAACATCCATTTCCGTAAAATTTTTGAAAGTTTTAACTAATAAAAGTTCAGCATATTATTCACATTGCACTAAAAATTTGACAAAAGTATACTATAAAGTAAATAAAATTAATTAACCTTTCACTTTCTATCTCAACACTTGAAAATAAATGCCTTCAAAATTCGCAAATTTTCAAATAATCTTTATAAAATGATAACTTATCCAAGATAAGTTATTCGTAATACTTGTGTTATCAATGAAATAAATGGATTGATAAAAGAGTTGATACGTGGTTATCTCTTGCATTGACAAAATCAACATCAAAATACCTTTATCATTGCTGATATAAACATTATTGAATCGAAAACATAATAATGTAATAATCATTCATTTGCTTATTATCATAACAATTAGCACGGTTGCATCCATTATTACTGTATTGATATTACCACATTTGCGTGACTGGAAATTCACATCTAATATATTTGCTTATGTTTGTTTCAAAACTAACCTTTTTGAATTTTGAAATTAATTATTATATCATTCCATATGATTGTTTTTTCAATTTTTTTTCCTTTTCTCACACATATAAACAAATTATGTACTAAATATTAAATAATTTGATTGAATGTTGTTGTTATGTATCATTTATAATGATTTAATGATATATAGTGAAATCGGAAATCAGAAAAGTGATGTTTATTGATAAGATACTATCCATTCATCAAAATTATGCTTTTTTTACTATACCATACTACTTGTTTAAGGTTAGGTATAATAAATCTGATGTTATGAAATTGAGAACGTTAAGTTAAATTTCGATTTAACAATATATATATGTAATATAATAAGTAAGAAAGTCAAAACTTATTGAACTGAAGAAAAAAAATATTTTTGGAAAAAATTTAAAAGGCTCCGCCCTAAATATTATTATTTTCGTATATAAAAATTAGCTGTGCTTTTTACAATCACTTTTTTTTTGCAATTTCAACAATACATCTCAAACAAATGCACTCGATTTGGAGCACTACAATTACTGTACTCTTCTTATTTGCTATTGTAGAAAGATCTAATGTAAGTTAACAAATTAATATTTTTAAAAAATTTAGTTAGTAAAGTTTGTAGTATTATCATTTATTAGATTTACAGATCTGTTGTAATTTTTTCTATGAAGTTTCAAAAAATTTCAAACAAATCCTAACAATTTTGCCGGTTCTTTCTTTCCTTTTCTTTTCTTTTTTTTTTTTTTTTTTTTAAAGATTAATAACAAAAAATATAGGGAATTTATTTAGAATCTTTTAAAATAATTTGAGTAGAAATTTTCTTAAAACATTTAACATTATCATATTTTACAGGCAGCGTTGAAAAATCAAACTGGTGAAGGTCGTTATTATTGGGGACAGCCGTATGGTTTACCACAATGGCAAGCACAACAAGGCTGGGTACCACAACAAAATTGGATGCAACCACAAGGTGGAATTACATCACAGGGATGGGCACTACCACAAGGTGGAATGCCAATGACAGGTTGGGTACCATCATCAATGCAACCAACTCCACCACCATTTTTGTGGACTCTTTTTGACGACAGTAAGTGTAAATTTTCAACTTTTGAAAAATTTGAATTGATTATGAGTTTAGTTCATTGCTTATAATTGTAACAATGCAATTTGAAGAAAAAATTAAAGCCTTCTAAGCAACTTTTTTTTTTTTAATTATGAAAAGAATTTAGGGAATGTCTGTACATTGGATGCATCAATATTAGTTGTTTTGGAAAACGATGGATCAACTGCGCCAGGAGGAATGGATATTAATGCACAGTTGCTATCTGCGTATTACGGTGGTGATTTATCCTCAAATGCAGTAAGGATGCCATGTTCCAGTATAGCAACTACATCTGCGCAAGCATGCACAGCTTGCTGCAAAATGGCATGCAAGCATTATACCATAAGCGTGGCAAGCTTTTATGCATTCTTTAATACTGTTAAAAGAGTTGAAAAAAATTAGGTGGAATTAATGGTTATGTAACTGAAAAGTAGGTAATCGAACACTTCAGGAAGATGTTCATGGATTTTTAATTAATTCGACAAGACTCCTTGCTGGTCAATTCCCAGATATTGCATTACCAACATTTCAACGAATGGTTAGTTTTACCTCTATATTATTAATTCAAACATATCATTAATTTATGGAAAAAAAGGATAAAAATCCCCATGAGAAAAAAAAAAGTTGAGACATTCTTTAATACTGTTGAAAAAAATTAGGTGGAATTATACTGTAATCCGGGAAATTCTGCTAAAACTTTATCACCAAGAGAGAATGCTTTAGAAACGACAGGGATCGATACCACCACAAACATTACCACCACTGCCTCCAGTTTCTTGTGTGTGTTGTGGACCACGACGTTTCTTCACTAATTGGTCTCCTTCTGCACCTAACTCACCACCACAACCAATGTGACAAAAGCCATTAACTAATTAATTAATCAATGCCTACTTTAACCACCTAATTTTTTTATTTTCAATATTACTCATACCACCTTCTCGTTAAACAAAAGAATTTGATAAACATTTTTCATGCATTTCATTGTTGACTAAAAATATGATAGCTCACAAATTTCCCGGACACTATAATTTTGGGAAATCCAAGCCATTCTTGAAAAAGGACTAAATGAGGTTACTACTGATTTTTTGTGTGAGTCGATTACATAGCTATCTCTGATATATATAATATTTTAAAGAAGCGTAGTTTTTTCTGCAATCTTTGAATTTTCTCGGTCCATATTCAACTCATCGTTTTCTAAATCTTGACTGCAAAAAACACAAGTCTTTTTTTTTGGGTGAGTAAGTTTTTCTTCAGAGATAGCTATGTAATCGACTCATTGATGTATACAAATTGATGTATACTCATAAAACACTAGAAATGTAAGTTGCATGGAAACAAATTAAAAACTAAATCACTTTTTATATATTATTTTATAAAGAGTACCATAATTTGAGACAATAATCAAATCTACTAGTTTTTTACACCAGCTAGTGTTGTTACAACATATTGTATTTCGCCGCCACCAAGACATTCGCTATCGTTATAAAAAACACAAATCTGAAATTAACATTTTGCTTAGCAACAAACAACACTATAAATTATATATTTTTCATTATGAAATTAAAAATGACACCTGGCCAGGGGCAGCTGCTCGAATTGGATTATATGGTTTAACTTTTAAAAGTCCTTTTTCCAGTCGAGTAAGTTCACAAAGAAGTGCCGGATGTGTCCTTTGGCAACGAAATTCCATTTTTATAACGCCTCAAAAAACAAATTTCAGCTTATCTATCAAAACAATCAATAAGACACTTAAAATTACGGGGAAAAAAAAGTTAGGAACAAACCTGCGTCACCAAAAGGACATTCAGATATCCAAACGGGTTCTTCAACAACAAATTCACGAGCAAACAAAGCTGGATGATGAGATCCTTGACACTATATACTTGGAATTTTAAAAAGCAACAAAATCCTGCTTACAGAAACAAGGAAGGATAAGTCGACAAATCGAAACTTCGTAAAAAATGTCAACTAAAGCTCACCATCAGATAAATTTTCGAGCAACAAACTTTTGCATTAAAACTACGAAACTGTCCTTTTAGATATTCTACAAAAATTGAAATAAACTAGAAAAAAGACGAACCACCCAGAGAGTTTGAGTTTTATCATCAAGACCAGCAGCAAACAAACCAACAGCACTCTGACAATGGTCAGGTACCATTGTAATGCGTTTACCAATTGTATAGTGATGTATACCTTTGTGCTCAAAAATAACTTTACCGGTATCGATGTCCTTCGCTGGTCCAATTACAGGTTCAATGTACTGTAAAACTGCTATATTTATTGATATATACGAAAAAAAAAACCACTTATAAAAGTGGTTTTTTTTTTCCTTTTTTTTTTTTTTTGTTGAATTGTCATTCACAAAAAACATGCCTAATGTACTCTGAACTTCATCACTTCATCTTACCTGACTAATAAAAGCATCGAAACGTTTTCTTTTTCCAATGAAGCAAAGTCCCATGCTCTGAAAAATTTTCATTTGCAGGAGTAAAGTTAAAACCAGGTACTTCCACCTCGTTGATTTGTTGCAAGAAAAAATAGAGATAAAAGAAAACCCACCTCCCGCTTTTCAGCAATTTCATCCATCCCAGCATCAATCGCAATTTGGCGTACTTGTTGTTTTGTCAATGAACCTACTGGAAACATTGATCTTCTCAACTGCGATTGAGTTAAAGTTGACAGGAAAAATGTTTGGTCTTTGATCGGATCCACAGCAGCAAGCAATCGAATCACTAAACAATCACTTGAAGTAAAATGACGCATAACGAAAAAATTACGGATATAGAAACGTTTCATCTAAACCAAAGTCTAGCATTTTCAACTTTATTCATAATTGTGGAAATGAGGATCGTCTATATATTTAAGCATTAACTCAAACTACTAGTGTCTCAAATACAGAAAACATTTACCTAATTTGTTCACTTACATCCGGTTTCTAAACGATTCTCCAGAAAATCACCAAAACTTGTCCTTGCAAAATGGCCCGTTGCAACAGCATCAGCTTGAAGTTCATCAAATGCATATTTATGAAACCGATCGAACTTTATCGTTTTATTGCAAAGCACATCAGATACGACTGTCCTTCCTTTTCGGTAATTATCTAGCAAATACCTAAATGAAATAATCTTCTCTCCAGAATATTGAAAAGCCACTGAAACAGGTCATAAATCTAATTAAATTCATCTTATTTTAATAAAACCTAGAACATCTTATGTTTTAGCTATGTTAAACTCACATAAAAATTTCGTTCCAATATTTGTCTACAAAATTGGTCACATAAAAAGGTATTTGTAAATGATTGCACACTTTTTCCGCATCTTTTTCGTCCACAGATTGTGGGCAGTTGTTTGAATCCTCTTCAGCGCGATCCCAATTTACCTTAAATGCTTAACACTTAACATGCAGTCATTCGTTCTAAACTGAGTATACTTTACAAGCGTATTAGAAAATCTTTCATCTGTGATAGTTAAGCATAGAGTATACCATACCATATGCACACCAATTACATCAAATCCTCGCTTTTTCAACAAATATGCAGAAACCGCACTGTCAACACCACCAGAAATTGCACATACCACTTTTCGGATTTGTTTCATTGTTATCAAATTTATCGTTAAACTTTCATTTGAAGAAACTAGTCTGAAGAAATTGAAAGGTAATGATAGGGACACGGAATACACAGAGTAAAAACAAGCAAAACTAGAAGGATCAATGATCACTTATCAATAACCAGATGAAAAAATGAAGCAAAACAGTTCTGATGATTAGCTTTATGACACTTCTTGCAAGATAATGACATATAGATACCATAATATGGAATAAGTGACAGAATAGTACTGCAAATAAATGACCCTTTCAGTTATGAAGAATTACAAATAACTTCCTCTAATTATGTAACGTTATCCTTTCCAACAATGTTATCATTACTATATTTCCGTACTCATTTACAGACATACTATGACATCCAAAGAAATACAACGTAGCATTGCTGTGAGTCTGACTACGGTGATTGCATTTTGAAACAAAGAACAAATTTTACATCCAATTTTTTATTCAGCAAAGAAACAGCTTATTCGAGAATCAGTCAATATTAAGTACAAAAATTTAATACAGGATGCCTATTCATTACTTATACAATACCTGACTACTAATCATTTCGCTTGTTCCAAACGTCGTATTTCTGTATCGTCCTTAACTGCCTTATCCGGCTCTTTATTTTCATTCACAAGACCAAGCTGAATGAATTATGTAAAACAATTTGATTACAATTTGGCAGGAAAGTAATGCAGGACTTACCTTTTTTAGTTCTTGTGAAAGTCGCACATCGTCTTTTGCCTTTAATTCCTTCATTTTTTCTAATCTTTCCATCCTTTCTTTTTCACCTTCATCCTATAAAGAACGAATATCTCACTGAAATGTGCAGTTAAAGAAAACAAGATAACACACAAAAGAAAAGAAAAGGATTTACTGAAAAATGAAATGCAACTCACCAATAAACCTTCTTCCAAACGAAAATGAAATTCATCCTCAAGCTCCTGCTCCTGTTTTCTTTTCAAACTTTCCAACGATGGCACTCTGCGTTCTTTGTCGAAACCCAACATTATATCGCGAAGCTCATCTATATCTTTCCTTTTTACAACCTAAAAGTAGCAAACTAGGGATACCAAAAATTTTTACATGTATGAACAAAATTTTTTCCAAATTGGTTCTGATTCGAAACTGGATTAGAAACGAATGAAGATGCAAATTCATTATTTCATAGAATTATTTCACAGACAGTTTAACTCATAATATGAATTGTAATATGAATCGTAATAAAACAATTTACAGAAAACTTAATAATTCAATTATTTGAAGTTTAGCTGACCATTACAATAACAATTTAATAATCTAATGAATAAAAATACTACTGTAAGTGAAAGAGTAAAACTGAAAAAAAAAAAAAATGATACATATTGTTGTTCCTTCCGCTCGAATGGTCTAAAATACTGCCAAATTGTGTTAAAAGATTCATTACCAATCCTCTGCATGCCCTAGAATTTACATAAATCATCATTTAAAACCAAATATCAATTGATGAGTATACAGAACAGCTATAAAAAGAAAAAATATCTTACGGGATGTTTTTCTAAACTTTCTAGGATCTGAGGCAGTAAAATATCTCTGCGTTCTTCATTCAATTTTAATACGAAATCTCTGTCACATTGTGTTCGCAGGATCTGCAAACAGTACGAATAAATCTTTAAAATACAAAAATACATATAGAAAATTGGAAGGTAAAACCAAATTAAACGTGAATGTAAGAGTAAAATTATCTTCTTAAACCTTCATGTGATTTAAGCACTTCTTACCAAAACAGTAAGTACTGTGCCACTGCAATCAAAATAAAGAGACAACTCATATCGCTATACATCCTCTATTCGATTAGAAAAACCCAATGATTAACTTACCTCAATAGCTTCTCGAAACATCAATTTTCCCTTGGGTACTTTTTCTGGTGGAGGCTCATAAAATCCAAATTCCCATATTTGGTCATTCCTATGAACCCACTCCGTGTCTTTTGACTGTAATTCTCTACAAAAAAAATATATGAGAATGTAAAAAGTAGCAGAAAACATAAAACCGTACAAATGTTTACTAACAATATCTCCCATATTTTCACTGGAAAAAAAAAAAGTACTTTGTTGTTGTCCAACGACTTTCTGGTTCCGAAGAAGTTACTGTAATTTTGTTCATATTGTCTATTAAAATATTGTTCCTTCTTTTTATTTCCTAAAATAAAAACTCAAAAAAAAAAAAAAAAAGAACATAGTAAATACTGGGATATAAGGAAATCAAGTAAAAACATGCCAAAAAAGCTTTTTAATAATTTTTTCTAATCTTCATTTTTAGATATTTTTCTAAAAAATGCTTTAATTTGTGGTACAAGTTTATACCTGTGTAATTTTTTCGTCGGCTTGGACTTTTTGGAAATATTTCTGCTCCGTCGGATGCCGAGGCGCTCGATGAACGGCCTAAAAATTTGAATCAACTTAATATGCTAAATCAAATAAACGAGATTTCTAATATTTCATCCACACAATACTTCTATTCTCAAAAACCTCACCAAAGTTTTAGTAAAAATTGTTGCTGTTTTTTAAAAGTAAAGACGCATTTAATGTGCAACAGTCTAACAGTGCCTAAGGAACTACCAAAGGCAGGATCAATTTGCGAACAAAAAATTACATATCGATTGCCACATATAAAATTTAATGTGCAACATGAAATATGACTATAGATAAAAAGAAGTTCCAACATCAACAGAAAAAATATAAATAATTAGTAAAAAACGTAAAAATCAGATACTTTAAAGTTAATGATACTTCCAAAATAAATTGAACAATATGATCCACAAATGATGGAGACACATAAACAAGTAAATCAATTACTTCTTCCATTCTCATATATAAAATTATAAACATTTGTTCAAACAATTTAAGAACATTATTAAGTGATGAAAATAAACCTCAGTTTTCTCCATATCTTCAGCATATTTAATTGCTTTTTGCTGATAATTCCGGTTTTTCATCGTGCGTAAAACTGACTTCCAAATCTTCTTCATCTCATACGAAAACAGCACTGTATTTACTGAATCAACTGAATCATTGACATGGAATAAACTCCGACAAATCAGCACATAAGAAATACAGCAAATACCGATCTAGCACAAGATATCGGTAATGCCAGCTGTAAAAAAGTTTTGTTTTGAAATATGTTACCAACAGTGGAAGATTGAAAGAGTTTGCGTTACATAAATGATCACTACGGCAATCAAACAGAATGACTGAAGATGATGTTCAGTGTATCTACATTAGCTAGATAGGTCATAGAAATAACATCGGACACTCCTTCAAAGTTATCGTTAACAAAGCATCAAATGAAAATAAATCATAATGAGCTTGCAAATTTATAAAATTTTTGAAATAGAAATTAAGACAAAGTATGAAATACAGTTACAATGAGGGAAATAGCAAAAGGGAGGAAAATATTATATATAGATTTTCATAAGTTTATATGAGCAATAGCGAATGTGATAGATGATAAAACAATAGATTGAGGAAGTGGTAGGGAAAAATGATTAGTTATATTAATGACTGGAATTATATTCTTATTAAACATATACCCATATGTAGAAGATACTTGCATGTGATGGTATGCATTTTTATAAATGTCTACTTTTAAAATTTTACTCTTTTTACAAAATGTATCCAGAAAATTGTTACTCCAACTGAACCGGAAATCCAATCTTATAGCATTATCTTTCCTCGACAAAGCAGTACTTCGCAAATAGAGATTCGTGTATAAGACGAGACGATAGTATGGAATACGGTGGTGGGCGGAGCTTTGTAAGCGGAGAGATCTATTGATCGCGGCCCAAGGCCTTCGCTCCGACGGTCCGTGGCCCAATCTCATGTCTTCACTTTGCACATAAACAGTTCTTTATTAGGGACGTACGTGAGGTGCGTGTTAAGCGTGACACGTAGTTTACTTTCGTTTTTTTAAAGTTAACTTTGTGTTATTTAAAGCCGTTTCACAACATAATAGAAATAAAAAAGATTTCTGGGAAATTCGAAAACTTAGCAGTTTCAACACATTTAAGGTGGATAGAGTAATGCCGGGAGGGAATAGAAATTTGCGTTCGACGCTACGACGACGTTCGGTTACCGCTGCATTGGAAGAGCCATCGGAAGATGTTGACGTGGGAGGAGGAATAGGTGACAGCGGAGTTCATGAGCTGGTCGATGTTGAGGGTGATGCACCACCTAACTTTCCTCAGGAAACGGCACCAACAACCAGTAAAACTAAACTCTGCAAGCGGCAAGTCATACCTGTCGATTAATTACATTTATTATGTTTTTTTTTTTTTTTTTTTTTGGTAGGGTTCAACTGTTTTTTCTTCTTCTGTTCGAAATTTATTCTTTACGAAACATACTTGGATCTAGAGAGGTCGATGAAGATGAGGATGAAAATCAGCCAGTAATGAAAATCCGTCGTATCACGACGCCAGCATATGCAATTCGACGAATTGATCGGCGTGTTTGGCCGAGCGAAGTACCTCGAAAAAATTATAATTATGGGAAAACCACAGCATATAGCGTAAGAAAGGAGCAAGAATTGGCACCCAATCCAAATAATCCTCATTTCTGTTTTACGGGTCATCAGCGTTTATATCCATATCGGTTTTATCTCGACCTTATCCGTAAGTTGATCGACTGATTGATTTTGTTTTCCGTACTCTATATTTGTAAAGAATAAAAGTGTTTGATTGCTTTTTTGATTTAGTAAATAACAGTGAAAGACTTGGTCAGTAGAAAATTGTACTGCGCTTATTTGCAAAATGCTGTTTTCAGGTAGAGCGAAAAGAGATCCTTCAATCATCAGTTTGGATATGCCAAAATTAAGACCTGTAGGGGGAACAATAATTGTCTATGACTGTCATGGGTTAGGATTTTTACTCACTATCTGAGGCATCATATTTCAAGCATTTTTTTTTTCGAATTTTTTAAATGAAATATTATAAGACTACTTAAAATCGATTTACTTGAAACAAAAGACATTTTAGTATCGACCAAAATCGAGCCCTTCACAATGATGGCTATCGCTGGGGCCGCTCGAAAGGTGTGAAACTGATTCAGAGTGTTGGCAATAGACTTGTACGCACATATCATTTTCTGTATGATCCAAATAATCCGGCTGGAGATCCGAGTTTTAAGTATGTTCATTCATTCTGAAATTTATTTCTGCATCTATTTTCATATTCTCTGTCATCTCATTTGTTTCTGCGTGATGCTCATACGTTTTTGGTGAATACGTTATCTTTTTGCACTTCAAGACATGTTGATCATGAGAAGTTTGATAAAATACCGACATTTTATGAATTTCCTCACCTTTTTCTGCAAAAACAATATTAACTTTAGGAAATACCGTTTTTCGTTGAAAGGTGAAAATTATGGCGTAATGGTCATGCATTATATCGGTGACGAAAAGCATGCGGCGGAAGTTTCAGCTAGAGTAAGAACCATTCTTGAATTTAGCAAATATGCAATGAAGAATACAGATGATTCCACGACTCGTTTACTTACTGAGCATTTGGCAGTAAAGTAGCATTTTTCTTTAAAAAAATTTTCATACTTTCAGAATTGATCATATGGAAATTTGTTATACATTTTCAAAGAAAAAAAATTGGATTAATTTGATCTGGATGTATTTTATTGTTTCCATTTTTTTGCATTTAGCTGAAATTATCAATGATTTTTGTTCTCAGTGCATGCGGAACAATGATCCAATGGCTATGTTAGCATATAGTGAAGCACAACAGGGAGTTGAAGATTTGCATTCGTTAAACTTGTTGCCATTACCTATGTTAAATGAACACTCATCTGAAGAAGAGCGAAACAAATTTCGTCAAACTTTGTTATCCAATATTCAGGGCCTTCAACGGCAGTTATTGGTAATTGAATTTTTTTTATCCTGTAATAAAACTTACTAATGTCCCGAATATTTCTGATCCAAATTTAATTGTTATTTATTCGTTTATTTATTTACTGTTAGTATTTGTGTTTTTTCAATTTATTTAATATAGACATTAATAATATTTTTTATAACATCCATATTGCAGTATGAAAATGAAGAAACTTTTGTGGAAAGAGTTGAATTTGATGACTGTGGTGTGAGTGTAGTTTATTTGTTTTGCTATCCATTGGTGGAACAGTTAATTGCTGTGGCAGGTTATTTGCAACAAGGCACTCCGTTCCGTACCGTTCAGCTTTTTTACCATACTGAACCAGTCACTGTCGATTATCACCTTTCTACGCTTTCGTTCGTACATCCATTTTTTGAAGGTTAGGTTTGGGGATACTAATTATTACTTATTTATATGTTTTTGCTTTCTAGATTTTTTAAAAAAGGTAAGTGATTTCTGTTACAGGTGACCAAGTGTTACCCATAGCTTTCATGATCAGCTCGACTGCATCACCGGACCGTTGTGATGATCATGACAGTTTTTTGTCAACATTATACGATAGATTTAATGAGCTTCTTAATGGGCGTTTTGTGATTATCACCGGCCAGAGCTTGTGTTTCACCCCGGATGCTTTTCCGGTTTGTCTTTTTTTGTTTTTGTGGTTGCTCATTGTTTACTATTTTTTTTCTGAATTTCATGCTATTTATTTTTTAGATTCATTTGATAGAAGTTTAAACTTATTTTTTGTATTTTGTTCAATGATAAAATGTTTAGGTTGCCGAACACATTCGGTGCTGGGATGATTTCAAAAGGGTGAAACTCAGTTATATTGAAACTCTTTTTGGCGGAGCTAATTTGAATGAATATGCCAGTGATATGAATATTTTGATGAGCTGTACTTATGAAAAACTTTTCGATGAGGTAAGTATGTAAAGCGATTTAATTTTACTCGATAAAAGGCACCAAATAGTTTTTTGAAAGAAATACCAGAAAGTAGAATGAATCTTAATTTTGAAAATATGAGAAATCAATTTTTCATATTTTATAGATGTGGGGAAAAATAAGTGCATGCAAACGTTATACTGAACGGCCAGATGTATACAGTTATTTTGATAATGTTTGGAGTGATTTTAAATTTACTAGTTCCATCTGGCATTTGAAGAACTGCGGTGTTCCAGATGCTGACAAGGGTATAACTTGGCGACCGTGTAAAGGTTTAAGTAAGGTAATTGGCATATTTCACTTATATTGATAGGTTTCCTGACTATAGCGTAAACACATGCTAAAGAAATAAAAATTTCTCCTGCTTTTTCAGAAGTTAATAGGATAAAGACATTTGGATTTGTTTAAAATTTTAATATACAGTGCTTTCTTTCCAGCTTGTTTCGCAGCTCTGTGATAGTAACGCTCTGCTTGATACTATTATTATATCACTGTTTTTATTGTCAAATGCATATCGAAGGTTGTTTATTGCTGGACTGCATCAGTCAGGTGCATGGAGATTGAAGAAATGTTACAGGGAGCGTTTTCAGCAGAGTCATTTGAAGGTGTTATATTTATTGGATAAATTTCAAGCTTTAATTTTAATATAAATATGTGATTCTTTATTATATGTATTTCAAGTATCAGCAAATCATCCACTGTTTGTTCTTTTTTCTACATATTTTATGCTTACATTTCAATTCTTAAATTTTTTAAAATTTCTCTGTTTTTAAGTTTTTTTTTTTTTTTAGTTAGGTTTTAAGTTAAATTTCTCCATTTTCTTCCAGTTACCTAAATTACCGTATGCACCAGCCATGGAAAATATTGTGATGACCTCATTCAGTATGTGTCCAAATCGTCCTTACAAGCGGTTGTCGCATGATGGAGTAAATGATGGTTCAACATTGTCGACGTGTCTTGATAATGAGTATCAAAATCATCCTAGTTCTCTGTCTAACCAAATTGACTTACCTTCTACAAGGCAAGCAGGTTTAATTATTGTTAATGGATCTGTTATGTTTTGATCATCTCATAATGCCAAAATATTGTTCAACTTTTTAGTCTGCAAATAATGTTTTAAATGTTTTGAAATATAGCGTTACCGCAAGTAAAATTGA